GGGGAAGCTCTCAGACCTTCCAGTTTACACATTCTTCTTTGTCTGGCTTCCCTCCCCTGTAGTTCTTTCTTCGTACCCCCAATCCATCAGTTCAACAAGTGACAGACCCAGGGCTGAGCCGCTCAGGGCCACAGGGAGTCACGACCCGAACCCTGATTCCTGAGTCCAAAGTCTGGTTTGCTTCCCTGGGCCAAGCTGGGCCAGAAGCCGAGTCAGCTATGTGGCCGCTCACGGGGTGTTCAACACCCCAAGGAACAGCCGGACCAGAGCCTTGCTAGTCTCAAGGTGCTTTCACATCTCCTTGATCCAGAGTATCACGCACTGGCCCCGTCTTACAGACCAGCAGACTGAGGCTCAGGAGACAAGGAGGCTGAGGTGGACGACTGGATGATGACCGCCACCCCGCCCTCGGCTGCTGCCCTCGCCCAGTATTTCCTGACCTCAGTGTTCATAACCTGCCTGCTCAAAGGTCCCCAGACCCACATGCCACCTGTTTAATGTTTTCCTCCAGGTGTACTCACCATTTTATTTAGAGAAATGTACTTAGAGGGCCCTCCCTGGTGGTGCGGTGGGTTAAAGCGCAGCACTATGAAGCTGGCCACAGCCACTGCAGCACGAGTTCGATCCCCACCCCGGAGCTGACCCACATGGTGCGGCAGACCTCTCCTGACCTGCCCGCTGCTCCCTCAGCAGTGTACTTCGTCGCTCTGCCTGTTCTGCTCCCCACTCTGTCTCTGGGGAATCCTCTCACCGCTCCTGCACCTCTGGCCTGTACCCCAGTTCTGTGTACATAAATAAATCTTTTTTTTTTTTTTTTAAAGAAATGTACTTGGAAAGAAACGTTGTATCATACTGTCCATGGAGAATGAGACTCACTTGTCACAAATAGAAAGAAAACATAAAAACAACATATGAAAGCAGCGCAGCTTTCCATCCCCGGGCCTGCCAGACACCACTGCTAGCTGAAGTGTCAGGTTTGTGCTTTGTGCTTTTTTTTTTTTAATACATAAAGTTGATCTTAAAAAGTTGGAGAGCTGATGTAAAAATAAACTATTATAATAAAAAAAAGATCCAGAAAAAAAAGGTTAGAGAGGTATTAAAGTTGCCCCCCAAAGGGAACTGCCTAAACTAAACCAAACACACCCTAGAAATGGGGCTGCAGAATTGAGGCCACTAGAGGGGAGGAGGCAGAGAGGAGGGACACCCAGTGCCCTCGGGAAGGATGGTGGTAGCTGTGGCAGGTGCGACATGGACACACACCAGAGGTGTGAACCCTAAGTCCCAGACAGTGCTGTAAACCAGCCGCACATCAACGAAAACATTGATGCGGGAGGATTTTTCTCACCCTAACATTCATATCACTTAACACCTTGTCCTCTGGCCACCCCGACTTATTCCCCATAGTGTGAGAGGGGAAAGGCACACCCCTCCGGGGTACAAGGGTTCACCCTAAAGAGCAATGTTTTAGCAATTATGCCGACGGAGCAGGAGGGGAGGGCGTGGGTAGGAGGAGGTCCACCGTGCTGCTCTCCGTCTGGGGCCCCAGCCACTAGTGTGGCGTCTGTGCGTGCGTGACATGGAGCTGTGCTCGCGAGCCCCAGGGTCAGAGGGGGCCAGGAAGGCGGCTCCCTAGTGATTTGGAAGCAGGGCCCCACACAGTCAGACTCACAGCTCGGGCTTCTCTGTGTCTCCCCGCCCCCCCCCCACCACCGGGCCCCGCCACCTCCCAAGATAAAGAGGCGGGTACCTGAGGCTGATGCCCCCGTACAGGAAGGAGATCCAGAGCCAGCCCACCACCAGGAACAGCAGCATGAGCGGGAAGGCGAAAATGAACCAGGAGCCGAAATTCACCACGTCGCACTGCGGGAAGAAGCTGCAGAAAGAGGGGGGTGAGGGGAGCCCTCAAGTCGGCCACGGTGGGGCCGGTGGGGCAGAGAGGCCCCAGAGTCAGAGTTTTACATCTCTTCTAATAAAAGACACCTCTTCTTTTCTTTGGGACGGCGGGCGGGGCGGGTGGAATCCTGGATTTCTGAGCCAATGGGATCGCAGATGTCCTATAGTCAAAATCTATGCCCCTGGGGACAGATGGGTTCCTGAAAGGGTGAGGGCCATGATAAATTGGGGGGGGCCCCCCCATGAAAGAAGGAGCTGACACTTCCCCACATAGTCACCACACAAGAGGGAGGGCCAGAGAGCCACCGCTGTTTGAAACTGTGTGATGTTCAGTGCTGACAACTCATTGAGTTTTGAAAGGCCACGTGCGGGGGGAGGCCCGTCTGCCCTCACAGGCCTGCAGGCTGGGCCCCAGCAGGGCACTATCTGTGGGTTCCTGCTCTGCCACCGTCTCCACCCTCAGTTTTGCTAAGATGTCTTCCAGCCGGAAGGTGTGAACAACTTACTTTTCACCTGTATTTTCTAAATTTTCCATAACAAACCAGCATATCTTTGGAAATACAGCAAAATGACAACAAAACAGTTTAAAAAAACATTAAAATGTCAGCAGGTATACGGCCACAGTCACTGTATTCACTGTAGCAAACTAATAGTGCTAGAGTAAGTGGAAAGATGGAGGTGGCTCTGGTGAATAAAGTCTGACACCCCAAATAGGATAATTTATAATTATTAAAAATACCTTTTTGGGGGGGAAAATTACAAAATCAGGCTATACAACTGTACAGAGTATAATGACAACACAATGAGGTATATATGTATATTGTGAAAAGGCGAGACTGTGAGACTGAAGATACTCGGCATTTTAAGCTTTTTTCTGTATCTCCTGAGTGTCTGTGTGTGCCTGTATCCTGGATAGTCAGAATAAACTAGTAAAAGCTATTTGGGGAACAAAGGTCAAGGGGACTCAGGGCAGCCATTTCCCTGTCTCCCTGACTTGGCTGGGTGATCAGAACCCCCCAATTACTTGGCGTTGCTTGTGCAAACATTGCATGTGATTTGCATGTACACTCAAAAACCTGTCTATCCCACCTTTTACTCACAGCTCCTGCCGTTTCCCCATAATCTGTGCAAACTGAAGCAAAGCAGCACCCACCCCAGGACCAAGAGGCCGACTGGCTCTTTGGGTGGGAGGGCAGGCCGGTCCTCACAGACGTGGCCTGCCTCTGGCTGCGCCTCCCACACCCCTCACCTTCTGCCGCCCTGCCCACCCTGGGGACAGCAGTTCCCAGTCTGGAAGGCCCCTCCCCGCTGAGACCACAGAGCCCCCTCCCTCCCTCCCTCCCTCCTTCGCTGCTCAAATATCCCTCATCAGAGGCTGTGCATCTTAGATAGGAAACTAGCACTCACCACTGCCTCTTCTCTCACCTTATCCTGCTTTATTTCTTAGTTTACTCGGTTGACACGGCCTATATTCAATTGCTTTTTGCTCTCGTTTGTTGATTGGGTGTCCCCCCAGCAGCATGGAGGACCCCCAGGGACTTTGCTGGCTTTTGTGACTGCAGAGTGACACAAGCTATGCAACTTCTGTCATCAGACTGTAACAGGTACAGGTTTCGTGGACTCTGCCCCCACTCGATGCTGGAACTCCAAATCCCATCAGTACCAAGGAGAAGCACGCCGGGACGTGAGGGCGGAGCTGAGCAGCCAGGTTGGGATAAAACCGGACATGTGGGCTCTGGGGGGACCTGGTGGTTCGCAGCTGATCGTTTTGGCGCTCCATCGGTTTTCAGCGTGCAGGTGGAGTCCAAGTCAGCAGAACTGGTGGGACATCCTAGTTACCCGGTGTTTCTCTCCCTCTTTCCCTGGGTTATTCCTTTACATTTCTCCTTATAAATAAATCCATTATTTAACCTTTGAGTGTGTCCATAGTACGATTGAATCGTAAGCGCGCGGGTGAAGACCCACAGACGGGCAACCCAATTCACATTGGGGTGTCCTGTAACAAGATAAGATCCGGATGGAGGGGAAATGCTCTGAAAAATCAGAATTTCCCCACTAGCTCATGTTATGACCCCCCTTTTTTGTATGATCATCAAAATATTTCAAGCAACCATCAGTTTTCTACTGGACTGCTCTAGCCTCATCAGGTGTTGCCTGGCTCAGGCAGGCAAGCGCTGACCTAAGATGGGAAAGTTCTCTTACAATCAAAAATATTACAACTAGACAATTAATAAAAACAATTATAACAAAATTAATATTGTAAGACAAGGCAGTACTAGAATAATCAGAATTCTTTTACTGCCCGGAGGAGAATCCAAATCCCTTCTCTCTACTATCTCACAGAAGCCTTCTATTCAGTTTCTAAAGTACTACTGAAGTTTTCTGTTGTCTAAACTTCAAATAAGGAATCTCACCCAAATCCTCTATTCAGCTGTTGAGGAACCTTACTGTATCCCTCAACCTTACTTTATCCTTCTTCACATCTCCACCTCGTCTCCACCTTAACCCTTGACTTGACTTTACCCTCTAAGATGTCTGAGTAAACACGAAGGTCATAGAATAGCATTTTAGATCTAAAGGAATTTTATTTTTAGCCAACCATCACTAAAACATGTTAGCTTGAAATTTTATGGACTTATCTTAATTTTAATAGCTCAATAATGTTATCATCTTAACTGAAGGTCTATATGACCCCGAACTGCTCTCAGAAGAAACACTGTCATCTCAGCCCCATTCATATGTTAATTACTTGCCTAAAATATATAAAATAAACTTCTGTTGAAGGCAGGAGGGGAAGCCTTGCACCCAACTCCGACTCCTGTGTCTTCCTCGCACCCGCTCCCCTCTTCCCTTTTAGGAATCTCCGCTCGCCGACGCTGCTCCCACCTTGAGACCCTGCCTGTTCTGCCCCCCAACAATGTGTGATCAGGGCCGGTCCCCGACAGCAGAGTCCCCGGAGCCTGGCCAATAGAAGGCAGTGGGTACCTGTGTCCTGGCTGCTGAGTGAGGAAGGGGAAGAGCAGAAGAAGGAGAAGCCCCGGCCCCGGCGGGGGACACGTGCCTTTACCTCTTGAGCTGGCCGAGCAGGATGAGGTTGGGGGCTGTGCCCGTGAGGGTGGCGGTGCCCCCGATGCTGGCAGAGTAGGGGATGGAGATGAGGAAGCCCTTCCAGATGTTCCTGCGATATTCCTCCTCCTTCTTGGAGTCAGCTGGAAGGTCCAAAGGCACCTCTACCTCCTGGGTACAGTCTTTGCTTTAAACAAACCCAAACAGAAGCCATTCAGAACACACTCGGAATTCCTGGTTTTGCTTGGAAACACACACATAGCTCGTGTTGGGAAGCTAAGTGGTATTTCTAGAAGGCAACCTGGCATTTAGCACCTCTGAAGATGTTCAGCTCTTCAGGGCAGATGTTCTACTCTAAGAATTTCGGCTACAGAAACACCCGGGTAAGTGCCCTGGTGTGGGGAAACTGAGGCCCAGGCAGCAGACCGGGCTTGTAGCCAAGAGACGTGAATAGTTCCAGAGAGTGGGGACTGGGTCTTTCAGCCACGCTCTGTTCGGGCACAGTGAGCTGATCACATCTCTCCTCTGCTAAAGCTCTCTGTGGCTCCCTCTCATGCAAAGCCAAGGCCCTGAGCTCCCTCATGCTCTGTCCCTCAGTACCTTCTCCCCACACAGGCCACCTTGCTGGCTCTACCTGCTACCATCTGCTCTGAGCTGCTTGGCCTCCTGGCTTTCAAGTCTCAGGACCTTTGCACATGCTGGCCCCTCTGCTGAGAACATGCTTTCCACAGACCCCTTGCCTCTCACAGGCGATTGCTCAGGACTGACCTTCTTAATCAGGTTTTCCCCATTAAAGCCCATTTAAATGGGGATTAAAACTCCATTCCGACCCCAGAGCCCCTTCCTAGCCTCACTTCTGGCTTTGTTCTCTTGAACAGCCCTCACCAAAGTACTACGGATTTTGTTCACATGCTTTCTGCACATTTCTGGGACACTAGCTCCCTGGGCTGGGGTTTGTCTGTTTGTTACTACGTCCCCTGCCACGCATGGCTCCTTGTAAACTCTCTATAAATCTCTGTCAAGTGCATGAAGCAGAACTAATAGATACTCGGCAGTGCCTTGACCAAGTCACTTGACAGCCTACTCTGTTATCACCAGATAACAACGCCAGATAACAACGCCATTAATAACCAGGGCCACCTCTGCGCACATGGGGCCAACCACCGGCTCCATCAGCAAAGCAACCCTCATCTCAAAGCAACCCTCCAAGGCGGGCTTCCACATCATGTCCCATGGCTGGGGGGAACTGAGACCCAGAGAGGTTGAGTCACTCGTCCACATCACACAGCAGGTAAATGGCAGAACCAGGGTTCCAAGCCAGGTCTTCACGGCTCCGGTCCCAAGTCTAACCCATGCCGCCATACACAAAGAGCAGGAGAGAGGGCGCTGCCAGTGTGGCGACGCCCCCTGACTCCCTCAGGTGGGCAGGATGGCTACGCTCACAGCTGCACTTGCTTTAAAGCCCCTTGAGCTGGCTCACCCCCTCCTCCTTAACTGCCATGTAGTTTGTGTTCTCCTGCTCACTGGGGCCCTCCTTTCAGACCCTCAACTGCCCTAAGTCTGTGGGGATTTCATGTGCTTCCTGCTTTTTCCAATTTCGCATTTGTTTGAAGGAGAAGCAGAGGTCCAGCCTAAGTCAAAGGGACGACTGGTGGGAACTTGGCCATGAAATCATTTGGAGAAAAATTTGGGTTGAGAGGGGGTGGCTTGCGCTCTGCACTCTTGTTCATCCTCTCCTGGGACAAGCACTGCACCAGGCACTCACTCTTCTGTGCTGGCCAGAAACTGCATCTCCGTGGGCACAGTGCGCAGGCTGCTTCTCCGCAAGGCAGCTAGGAGGGAAGAGATTGATGTCTTTAGTGTGCTGTGCGTGGGACTGGAGTCCTGTGGTGGGGAGACAACCAGCGTGCTCCCCTCCTTGCAAGGACCCCCTCCTAGTCAGAATCAAGGGACTAAAAGGCAGGTGCCACTGCCTCTTCCTGGACCTCCCACCCCTGTTTGGAGATGGACAGAGTTAGTTGCAATGCTGCTGGTCAGCTCCTCTCAAGCTAGCCTCCCTGAGCAGCCATTGCCCAAGGGATGTTCTGGAAAGGCTAGCTGAGTGGTAATGGACCAGCAAGGAGGTGGGTAGCAGGAACCTCCCACTCATTCCTTCGAGAAAGGACTGAGCACCCATGTGCTCTTGACCGTGAGCCTGGAACAATCCAGTGAACAATCCAGTTCAAGATCCCTGACCCCAGTAAAGTTATATTCCAGAAGGAGAGGCAGACAATAAAGACAAGTCATCAGTGATGACAGTAGTGAAGGAAATCAAACCGGGCAATGGACTGGAAAGTGAAGGCAGAGTGGGAGGGGGAGCCCGCGGCCTGCTGTTATCAGGCCAACAGAAAAGACCCAAGAGCTGATGGCATGCGATGTATGGCCTCGAGTAAAAGGAACCATCATAGGGAGACCATGGGAAGAGGGCTCCCGGGACAGGAATAGCAAGTGCAAAGGCCCTAGAGGTAAGGCCTGGCAAAGTGAGGAACCACAGAAAAGCAGCTGTTCTGGGAGCGGTGAGTAGAGAAGGCCGAGGGGAAAGGTGGAATAGGGTGAGGTAGACAGAGGTCAACAGAAGTCAAGTCAAAGATGACCCCAAAAGGAATATCATTTGATCAACATTTTGCAAAGACCTATGGGCCTCTGGGGGGTAAAATGGAACCCAGGAGACCAGTTCAGAATGTATCACATTTTCCGGATAAGATGATGGTAGCTGGACTGGGCTGGTAGCTGAAGAGATGCTAAGAGCAAAGAAGTTGTGTTTCAGTTTTCCCTCTGAGAGAAGAGCTTGGCACACCTGGGAGAAACTCTCAGAAAGCCTAGCCAGTCAGTCCACCAGTAAGGCTGCTGAAGGACAAGACAGATGAAATCCCCGTGCCTTCTTTTCTGCTGGGGAAACACACCCTAAACATAACTGGCATGGCTGATGGAAAGGACTGTCATGGAGAAAGATAGAGCAGGGAGAAGGACGGGTGTTGTGGGCCGGACCCCTTTTCTTACAGGATGGTCAGGATGAGTCTGATTGAGAAGAGAACACTGAACAGAGAGCTGGAAGGGGGTGTGGTCAAACATCTGGTGCTATGAAGAGCAGGTGCAAATGTCCTGAGGTCGCAGCTTGTCTGGTGTGAGGGAGGAAGCAGAAGGGACATCAGTGGGCTCGGAGCAGCAAGAGAGTGGGGGAGAGGAGGAGGAGGTGAAGCGACAGAAGTGGCAGAGGGTGGGGTGGTAGGAGGTAGGCTGGCCTGTGCAGGGATCTTGGGGCTCACAGGGAGGACTCCTGTGGGTGAGATGGAGGTGGAGCCAAGGGAGAATGTGTGCAGACGAGAGTCAGGACAGGATCTGATTTCATTTTGAAAGTATCCCTGGCTTGGTAAGTCAGCCTCCCCAGAAGCCTTTGCCAGTGTTTGGGACATAAGAATAGATGAAGGAATCAAAAGTCTCTGCAGCTGATGGCCCTCCCTGGTGGCGCAGCGGGTTAAAGCACAGCACTGAGAATCTGAAGCCACTTCCGCATGAGTTCGATTCCCGCCTGCCGCTGCCCCGGAGGAGACCACATGGCGAGCCAGACCTCTCCTGACCCGCCCGCTGCTCCCCTCAGCAGTGTACTTCGTCGATCTGCCTGTTCTGCTCCCCACTCTGTCTCTGGTGAAGCCTCTCACCGCCCCTGAGCCTCTGGCCTGTACCCCAGTTCTGTATGAATAAATAAATAAATCTTTAAAAAAAAAAAAAAAAAAAAAGTCTCTGCAGCTGAAATCCTACCAAGAAGAGAAGAACCCAATCCTGGACACTGGGAGCGTGACCGGCAGCCTCACACCTGGGTTCCAGGTTCAGGACACAGCGTCGTCACTCACCATGACCTTAGACCAGTGGTTCCCAACTAGCCCCAATTCTGCATCCAAGGGACACTGGCAATATCTGGAGATATTTTGGGGTATCCAGCCGGCAAAGCCAGGGATGCTACTAACCATCCAATAATACATGCAGCCAGTCCACACTACAAAGAATCAGCCTACCCCAAATAGTAGTACTGACTTTGCTTGGTTTAGACAGATCCTTTGTTCACATAAATCTCTTAATCTCCTGGTACTGCAGTACTTTAATTCATAAAATGAAAGCAATAATTCTCCTAAGGCTCTCAAGAGGACCAACAAGTTAACTCATTTGGGACAGGCTGGATGTCTGCATGCCCCCCAATCCACATGTTGAAAGCTAACCCCCATGCACTGGTATTGGGGGTGGCCTTACTGGGAGGTGATAAGGTTGTGAGGGCAGGGGGCTCACGCATGAGATGAGAGCCCTTTGGAAAGAGGCCTCAGTGAGCTCCCTTGCCTCTTCTGCCACGTGAGGCCACAGCAAGAAGACCAGGACCTGGATGCGGTGCTCTGAGACTCCCAGCCTCCAGGACCACAGCTAACACACGCGACCATTTAAGTCATGTGGCCAAAGGTGATTTGTTTTAGTAGCCAGACTGGACTGGGAGACCGAAAGCAGGGCCTGGAAAACCTCTGTAAGAGGTCAGAGAGTAGAGATTTTAGGCTTGGGGGGCTGTGTAGTTCCTGTGGCAATGACGGAGCCTCACCACAAGCTCACGGAAGCAGCGCAGACAAGACGTAAGCAAACAGGTGTAGCCAAACCTTTGCTGCTGGACACTGAAGTGCAATTTCATGTAATGTCCACATGTCACAGGATAGTCTTGGACCATTTAAAAAGATAAAAACTATCCTCAGCTCAGAGGCAGCAGCCTGAACTTGACGGGCCAGTTTGTCAGGCCCTTATTTAGATAATTCAGCAGGAAGCTGAGACTAGCAAGGATTTAATAAGTATGGGTTTCTCCTGAAAAGAATAATAAAGGGGCCCTGGGTGCCTGGACCTGGCCTCACCCACATGTAAATCATCTTACACTGCAGGCAAAGTTGCTCTGAGGTGGTAAAAGGAGGCCAGGGCACTTCCTAGTGTTGTCAAAGCACAAAGTTACCTGCCAGGCACCAAACTCCAGGCACCACCGCCCTTTGCTAAGTGGATATCGACCTCTTTACCTAGTCTGACAACCACCCTGGATTTTTCACAGCACCAACCCAGGGCAAAGCCTGCTTCTGTTGACTTCGCTTCTGTCGACTTCGCTCGCCAGGCCCCAGCCCAGCCCCAATCCTGCCATAGTTCCTTTCTGACACCCTCCCACCTAGATAATCAAGGTCCCTGTGGTGCGAGCACTCCCTTGCCTCCACCACCATGAGAAACCCCACCCCACCTGCTCAATGAGCTACAGATGTGTTCTTGGGCATGGTGGCCACACAGACTGGGCGGAAAACTGGCCTCCCAGCCTCAGGGCTTTGCTGTCCACCAGAGGATTGCTCCCCTCTCTTGTTCCCCTCTCCGCTCTGAGCTGCCCCTCTCCTGATGGCCTCATGAGGGTGTGGAGTGCCTGGGGGCTGGCTGCCATCTTCACTGGGCCTGAGGCTGAGCGATCCAGTAGGCTGCTGGGTCTTACTGCCACGAGCAGGGGTCTGAAGGCTGAAAGTCAGATTGGGCTACCCTGGGCCACCGAGATGGGGCCCGCAGTGCTCCCGTGGTGCACAAGTCCACGTGCAAGGCCCGAGACTGGAGGCCAGGGCACTGAAGCAGGAAGTGAAGGGCTGTTAATAGGACACCGGTGCCAGTGGGCTGAGTCACTCCCCAGGGGGTGGTCAGACTGGAAGAACTCTGACCCAGTGACCCGCAGCCCCTGTGACTATCTCTAGCTCACTGTGTACCCGTCCACAAAAGCTCACCAGCGTCCAGGCATGGCCCAAGGCTGGGTCCTCACAGTCCTGAGTGAACTTCAAATCTCGTGGGAGAACCCAGCCCCACCAAGAGGTTCTGGTTTAGTGGCTGGGGTGGGCCCGGGCCTCAGTACTTTTGAAAAACTCTGCAGGTGATCTTTTGTGCAATCAGGACTGAACAGACTTATCTGGAGATACAGACGGGGAAAGTGAAGCCTCCAGGGGCTGTCCATGGCCTGGGGGCGGGCAGCGAGCTTGCCAGTTCGCCACCATCCCCACCTGGCCCCTATCACTCATCCTTGGAAGCTGGCTGTTGCCACATTTGAGCTAGAGCACACAGAATGAGGCTGTGCATGCCGGACACTGGGCGGACGCTTCACACACCGCAAGCAGCAATCTGTAGCTGCACATGAAATTCAGAAGGAGGCAGTTTCACTCTATGCTGACAGGTGATGTCACAACATTTTCTACCAAGATTTTTTTCCACGCTCATCATGATGATGATAAAGCCAGACAAAATGCAGTTGAAAAAAAAAAATAGGTGCTGAGTGTTCTTGACTACTTCCCGAGGGTCCACTCCATGCTTCCTGTGACTACAGTGACCCAACCAACCCCAGGAAAACAGGCCAGGGGGCAAAGTCTCCAAAGCTTCTGACATCCCCGTGTCCAGAAGTTGCTGGCTGGCTGTTTGGGAGCGTGGTGCTTACATAAGACCTTAGTCAAATAACGCCAGTTCCTGAGTTTGTATCAGGCGGGACTGAGGACGTTCACATTTGCAACCCTACAGCAGCCTGGACACCATCTGGGAGAGCTAGGTTGGGGCTGGCCTTCCCCTGTATACCTGGGGAAACTGAGGCCCAGGGAGGTGGGTGACAGTCTGGATGGTTGGGGCAGGCTCACACCTGTTCCCTGTCAGTCTCCTGATCGCCCAGGACATGTGCCTTCCCACGCTGGGAGGAGACCCAAGGCCCCCACTGGGACACTGACACTGGCCACACCTCCTGATGGCACTTGAACTTGGGCACACAGGGGACCTTCAGGAAAAAGTCTTGTATCAAATTAGGCACAGAGCCCCGAAAGAAGGTCTAGGGCCCCACAAAGCAGGTTTACAGCCATGAATTCAATTAGCACTTCAACCGCGTGGGCTTAAGTCTCCCCACTTTGTATCTGGAAACCGAGGCTTAGATGAGCGAAGGGACTGGTCCGCTCACTACTGAACCCCTACTACATGTCCAAGCAGGATCCTAGTGGACAAGATGACACCAGTGTAGGGTGCGTGGGGTGTCCACAGCAAGGGAAGAGGTCGACACGCTCTCGTGCAGGAGCCAGCTGACAAGCCCAAACCTCCCTGCCCACCTGGGGTCTTCAGAAAGCTCACGCCAAGGTGGAGGGGCTTGTTCCCTGCTTCTCCCAAATCCTGGAAACCAGGTGGTTTTAGACGCCTGTTAGCCACAGCCTGGATGCCAGGTTCTCAGTGTTTCTGGGACATCACAACAGCCCACGTGAAATGGAGTGAAGGCGGAGGGGAATGCTCACCAACCTACAGGCTTGCTTTTTGAGGAAACCTGCTGGCAGCCAGGTTTCTGTGGGCAGAGAGCAAAGGGAAACAGCGGTGGCGTTTAGAACCAAAAGGAGGGGCAGGACTCATCGGCTGAGGGACCTTAAACAAATATTTCACCACTTTGAACTTCAGCTCCCTGCGGTGTCAGGTGGCTACGGTGTGGGGCACCCCGCAGCTGGCCAGGGCCGGAAGGCCTGAGAAGGTCTGACCAGAAGGCGAATGCTGAGGGTGTGGGGAAGCCCCGCCCACGTGGCCCTGGCCCCAACCCCGGGCAGCGCTGGGAAAGGACCTGAGGTCTCCGAGGCAGGACCCCTTACCCGGAGCTTACCAGGGCTCTGGCATGAGGCTTAAAACCACAGATTTCAGGCTCAGCCAAAACTCAGCAACACACTCACGTGCTGCTTTGGTGCTCTGAGCCTCAGTCTCCTCAACTGGGAAATGGGCGTCGCTGACTTGGTGGGCAGTTATGAGGAGCAAATGAGTCAATGGGCAGAGTGGCTAGCATGTGGCATGGCCACAGACATGAGGGTTCAAGGCTCGAGTTGCTCTGGTCACTACTGGAGTCCCTTGAGGACTTGCAGCCCCTGGGAGCTGCCACCCCCCACCTCCTCACCCCCCCTGTCCACTCACAGTCTCCACCCCTGTCCTCACCTCCTGCCTCCGGACAGACCACAGAAACTGGGAGAAAGGGAACATTTCTCTTTGCCCTGGAATTCGCTTTGTTTTAGGTTTTAGAGTTGATCATTAACCCATTCCTGTTCTTTGGTCCTATAACCTGTGACTGTAGGTATCCCCCAAGCCCCCCCCCCCAAGCCCCCACCTCCCAACACCAGGCAGCATGAAGAACAGGACTGGATTTCACCTTGCACCCTGCACTGTGTGAGACCTTCGGCAAGCCCCTTCCCCTTCCTGGGTCTCAGGTTTGATTTTTCTTCTTTATATGAGGGACTCAGTTTTCATGCTCTTTTTGTGACTGGACTGGAAATTTCCTGGATGGGTTAGTGGCATGGGTCCCATGTCAGCAGCCTGGGCTGTTTTGACTCTGAGGCCATGGGGGCTCCGTCTTCGTTTTGCACTTTTCCCTCAGTTCCCACTCCTCTAAGAGAGCTCGATGCGAGCTCCATCTCCTGCAGAAGTAAGGTCCTTGCAGAAAGCAAGTGCTCAGTAAACATTTCTGAAGTTTACTCAGGCGCTTAGTGTATAAAGTAGAGTGGAGGCGGCTGGGCCTGACACGGGGGCTGGAGCAGCACCCAGACTGCTTGCTGTCACCCCAGGGTGACAGGGCAGCTGCCCCGAGTCCCAGCATGAGAACCAGCACCCCGGTGCTTCAGGTGACAGCCCTGGGGCTGGACCCAGCCCACCACCTGCCGGCTAAGACCGACTTGAACATGTTTAAGTGGCTAGAAAATGCAGTACAAGAGTATTTTGTGATGGACACATTGTAAAAAATTTTAATTTCAGCACCATCCATAAAATTCGATTGCAACACAGCTGGCTTGCTTGGTTCATGGATGCTACCTCCCTGCGCCCGCAGAGCTGAGAGTGGCCAGGGAAGCCTGAAACATTGGCCGTTTGCTCATTCACAGTACTAGTCCGCCAGCTTGTCCCTTGTCACCTCTTGGACAGGGCTTCCCTTCCAGCCGGAAGGCTGTGACCTTGCAGAGATCCTGGTTCCACTGACTCACCAGAACCAGTGTGGCTGATTCTGAGCATACCTCTTTGCCTCCCTGAACCTCATCTGTCATGGACTCAGTCACTTCTAATTTTCAGGGCTGCTGTGAAAATAAAATAAGCAAGCCCCCTTATGTGATGAGGGACTATTCAGAGCCCCTCACAAGATGAGACTAACTGAGATGGTGTGTGGATCAATGGATCAATATTTAGGTTTTAAACGGATACATGTTTATTTTACTGCACATTAAAAAAATAGCTAGTATACCAGAATCACAGGTTCAAGGCCAGCGTTTGGTGTGTTAGTGGGGTGAGTAACCCAGAATCACCAGGCAGGTCTGTGACCACGTGCCATCAAACACTTCCCTTCTCTTACTCCTCTGTCGTATTCACATTCCAGCCAGCAGGTGCAGAGAGGTAGCAGGGCAGAACCCAGATGTCATTCCCATCTGCCCTCACGCAGGTTCCACTGGCCAAACTTGGTCACATGACCACATTTAACCTCAAAGGCACTGGGAAATTCATCGTTTTCTCTGCACAGTCAAGTACCCATAGAGGGTTCTAGAACTAAAAGAATAAAGGGGGTAAATTTATACATATGTGGGCAATCTCTATTATAAAGGGCTCCTTTTAGAATACAGTTTATGTAACTAAAAAGAAAGATGTAGCAGACACTTTGCAAGCTACAGAAAACACAAAGGGATTAAATCCATAATAGAGGTGTTGCTGATAGGAGCATCACTGTCCACAACTGCCACGTCATGGAACCAACCTAAGTGCCCTTCAGCTGATGAATGGATAAAGAAATTGTGGAATATAGGATTCAATGGAATACTACACAGCTGTAAAAAATGAAATAATGGCTTTTGGGACAAAATGGATGGACCTCAAGAAAACAGGTTAAGTGTAATAAGTCAGAAAGTGAAAGATATCAGATGATTCCACTCCTCTGCGGAATATAAATAACCAAAACCAAAAAGTACACAGGCAAGATATAGTAGGAATAAATCTTGAACTCCGATTTTCCTCTGGCCACCAGAGGGAACAGGAGGAGGGAGAAGCAGGAGAGGGCAGCATGTGAGGGTGTTAGCATCGGTGGTTTAGTGGTGGGGGGGTGAGTGAGACATGTGCCCACATGAGAGATGACAAAGGGAGTTTCAGCAATGCCGACACAAAGCCCTGACATCTTAGTGCCTCTGAATGGAAGGAGTTGCCTTTTCTGATTTCCATATACTTGAGGAAATAAACTCATATTCCTTGAGCTACTTGTAGACAGGCTTTCTTTTACTTGCAAGCAAGTCATTTCAGCTAACGCAGCTGATTTCATGGGTAAAACAGTGGTCTGGAGCAGACAGCCTGTGTGCAGAGTCGGACTCAGCCCTTGGCCTGCTGTGACTTGGGGAAGTCACTTCCCCTCTCTGAGCCCTCTTTAGTCACTCATCACAAGTTTAATTGACTGATGTTTAGAACACATTTCAGAGGGCTGAGCAAATGGCCCAGCCATTCTCACTGTCTGTTGCACAAGGCCCTCTTGCTTTACATATTGATTTATTTAGTCTCTGACCTCCATTTCTCGCTCCCATCCTCCCAGAGCAACCATTCTGATAGGTTTAATGTTCTGGCAAAATGTCTGGTCATGCCTATGTATTTTTAACTGACATGATGGAATGGGATGCTGCCTCAGTCTGGCTCCTTCCCCCCATTGCAGCTATGTGTTATGAGATCCTTCCTATAACACTGTGTTCTTCTAATTCTTTGCTCCAGAGAGCAGCCTGGGTCTCAGGGTGCAGGGGTGTGTGTGCCCTACAGCATCCATCACCACTCTGCAGACGATGCTGCAGGCACATGAGCACCCATGTCCCCTTGTGGGCCTGAGTCAGATTTCCTTAGCATTTGCACCGGTCTATGCACATTGGATTTGATTAAATTTGCTGGATTCCCTGAAGAAAGGCTGACGCCATCTGCATTCTCTCTGATGGCCCCCGCATTCCTGCCATTACTGGGCGTTATCCAGTTTTCTTATTTTGGCCAATCTTGTTGAAGTAAATCTCATAGTTGTTTCAATTTGCATTTCTCTGGGTATTAGTGATCTTGGCAATCTCTTCAAATGATTTAAAATCAGGTTTGGTTTTAGCACCCACTTTAGACAGCTTTTGAGAGATAGGAGAGACAATCTATATAAAGGCCTTAACTCAGAGAGTATGGACTAAATATTCAATAACTACACATTTTTACAAAAGCAAGGTCTGGTGCTTTGCTTAGTTCTCAGGTACCAGCATCACCATCATTGAAACACTCGGCTCATAGCAGGTGCACTTCAGAGCGCACCACCCCCTTGGGGCGTCCCCACTCCCCCACATGGGTGGGGCCCCCAGCCCCTGCACAGCCTTACCTGTGTACTCTTCACTCTCCCTGTTGGGGTCCTTCCGCGCCTCCTTGGGGCCGAAGAGACTCTTCAGAATGGCACTGGCAATGGGCAGCATCATGGCGGTGGAGGCGGTGTTGCTCAGCCACATGGACAGGAAGGAGGTGGTCACCATCATCCCCAAAATGAGCCTGGGAGCGGAGGCAGTGAGGCAGATTCAGAACCAGAGTCACGCGTCCAGTTCACCACCATGGAGGAACCCAGGCCACTCTCCACACGGGAAACCATTGACCGAGTGGGGACCAAGTTCACTTACTGGGCTTGTTTTATTTATCTAAAGGTCACTCACACGATTGTGAAGAGAACTGACCACAGGTACCCAAAGACATACCAACTCTGAAATTTTCTCTTTCATACCCCCAAATCCTTGATGACTCCAACTGCAAAATAAAGTTGCCTTGATTTGGCACCAAGAGAGTCCATCACTTCACCCCAAGGGGCCTTCCCAGTCTCCTCCCCTACTTGCCTGCCCACTTCCACCAGACACCGGCCCAGGCTCCCCTGAAATTAACCGGGGCACCCAGGTGTGCCCAGACCTCTGCCTGCCTGCCACTGCTTGGTCCCACCCACCCGCAGGACTGTGGCGTTCACGGCCTTTTTGTGTTACACTAAATCCTTAATCCACCTGGAACTTATTTAAATGTGTAGTAGGAAATAAGACAATTAGACCTAAGTAGTTTTTGTTTTTTTCTCAAAGAATAAACCAAATCTTTTGACATCTACCACTATTCCCTTTCTCAATTTAGATTTCTTCTAGATCTACTGCCAAACCAGTATCGTTGTTTTTATTGTACCTTTGTATATGCCTGACCCATATGCAAATGGTCATAAGTCTCACCCATTTTTCAAATGCCTCATCCCATGAAGACACTCCTTCCTCTCCTGAGGGCTTACATGCCCCATTGCATGTCCAATTCCACTTTGTATTGGAGTCAGTCCGAAAGATGGAATCTCTCCACGGCATGGACAGCTTCTCCATGGGGAAACTCAGCTAGAGTCTCGCTGAGTGCTTGCCACAGCAACCTGGGAGTTATCCACAGCCTCTTCCCCCTCAGCACCACCCCCACCCCCACCTCACAGGAACTCCCAAATCTCCCCACATTGTCTCTATCCAGTCTCCACTGCTATCAGCCTCTCCGAGCTATCATCACCTCTAATCAGGACCCTGAGCACAGTTTCCTGGTGGTGCTGCATCCAGTAACCCCCTCCTCCATCTGCTGTACCCCAGCGCTTGCTGCATGGTCTAAGACATCACTGTGGTACAGACACAGAGAGTTTAAGTCACTTTCCAGAACATGCCAGTTAGGATTCAGCCTTGAACAGTAGGAGTCGTATGGCTAATATCACCCCACCAAAACCCCCCTGGATATGAACCTGAAGGATGGGGACCCAGGAATTCCAATCAACTTCCCATATGATTCTTCAGCACTTTTGAGAGCTGCCTGAGAGCCTAGCACTGTGTCTGGAACACAGAGGGGAAGCATGAAATATTTGAGGAATGAATAACTGAGCAGATTTCAGGGCATGCTGAGTTGGTTAGCTTGGATGACCAAACAGATGCCAAGGTCAACCTGCCCTCAAACCATCACACCCGCAACAGCTGCTATAATTCAACTTATGGAATTTCCCTTCTGAGGCTTGTTTTCCACAGATGCAGCTAAACTGTACGTTCTCTACAGATGCAAATAAGTAAAGCTGCAAGATAAGCAGCTTAAGTAATAGGCAGCGATACCTTGTAAAAATGAAGGATTCACTCACAAGGAGGAACTAATTCATGTCTAATCAATCCAACTTTGCTATGCCATCCCTAACCTTCCCCCTTAATCTCCCTTAACCCCTATAAAGCCGATCTTAACCCCAGAGAGGCAAAAACAGATGTGAACTTCACCTCCCGTCTTCTTGCTGGCTGACCCTTCAATAAAGCTCCTCTTTTCTCAAAGATTGGTGGCTTCTTTGTACTCTGGGCAGTGAATCTTTGCTTGGTAACCAGGGCCGGGAGGGTTGGTTTGGGCCCCAGGAGATTGGATGCTTCTGCCTCCTTACTCGGGGCTGGACCTACCTGGTCCCTGGCCTTACCTGGCTGGCTGGACCCCGACGAGCATGAGAATCTTGAGGGCAATTCTCCGATGCAGGTTCCACTCCTCAATGGCACTCGCCATGATCAGGCCGCTGAGAAAGAGGAAGTTGGTGTCCAGGAAGTATTGGGGACAGACCTTGTGGGAGGGCAGGACGCCCAAGAAGGGGAAGAGAATGATGGGCAGCAGGGCCGTCACTGACAGGGGCAGGGCCTCGGTGCACCAGTACACAGCCATGAGCAGAATGACGAACAGGCAGCGACCTTCCTGCGGGGGAGATACACACTCAGGAGGGTCAGGGGAACTCGGGGTGGCGGGGTAGGCCAAGTGGGCTGTCGTTGTCAGGGCTTGAGATCACACTGGGGCCCCCCCACCCCGCCACCCCTGCATTCATTTACATGCCTTGGAAACAGACCCTGAGTCTCTGCCTAAGTCTTCCCAAGGGCTTTAGCTTTTGCTTTGGTGCCACGTTCTCACCTTCGCTCATGAAATTTACAGGCTTATAAAGTCTTTGCAGAGGGCATTTCTGCACAACAAGCCCCATTTTCCTACTTGTCTATTTTGTCTTTTGTTGCCTGTACCTTGGGGTCATCTCCAAGAAATCACTGCTGAGTCCACTGTCCTGAAGCTTTTGTTTGTGTCTTTCTTCTAAGATTTTTCACATAGTTTTAGGTCTTACACTGAGGTCATGGATCCATGTGAGTGAATTTTTGTAGTGCTATTAGAAAAGGGTCCAACTTCATTCTTCTGCAAGTGCCTAGCCAATTTCCCAGCACCGCATGGCAAAGAGACAGTCTCTCCCCCATTGAAGTCTCTCGACATTGTCATGAAGTCTTTTGGCCATATGGGGGAGGGGTTTATTTCTGTACTGTCTGTTCTGGTCCCTGGTCTATATGTCTGTTTATAGGCCAGTATCACCCCCCCCTTTTTTTTTATCATTGTAACTTTGCAGTACAGTTTTTTCTTTCTTTTTTAAAAAAAATATTTATCTATTTATGCACACAGAACTGGGTTACAGGACAGAGGTGCAGGGGGGGTGAGAGGATTCACCAGAGACAGAGCGGGGAGCAGAACAGGCCGACTAAAGTACACTGTTGAGGGGAGCAGGAGAGTTCTGCCGCGCCAGGTGAGTCACCTCCCTGGCTGGGGATCGAACTCGTGATGCGGTGGCTGAGGCGAGCTTCACAGTGTCGCCTCTTAACCTACCAGGGAGGACCTGCAATATGTTTTTTTAATAAAAAAGTTTTTCTTTCTTTATTAAAGTGGTTATGAATTACATTTTCTTCCAAACAGAGGTCTTGATTGAAAAGCTTTGTGGAATATTGCCAGGGAAAAATCACTTTTGGTTTTCAGAGTTCACCTCCCTCTCTGCTTTCACACATCTCCAATTCCCTAAACCCAAATGCTGTCTGAAACCAGGAAAAATGAGTCCTCCAGCTTTGTTTGTTTTAGTCAGTCATGGTCCCTTGAAAGAAATTGCTATTTGGAAGGAGTTTCCTTCTGTTCCTAACTTGAGTAGCTTATGACGCAAGAGCTCTACAAGTGACCTGTAAGCACACGGAAAGATGTTCAACATCACTCATCATGAGGGAAATGCAAACTGGACACTTATTTTGTCTTAATCATCAATGTAACTTTGTAACTTTGAGGTCTTCATCCCCATTAAGACTTTTGTCTTAATCATCAATGTCGATAAGAACACAGGCAGCTGAGACCCGAACCCGGCTGCTCTATGGAAAAGACGCTTCCAGCCTCGGCGGGCACTTCAAACCAAAGGGCAGCATCGGAGGGCATCGTCCAGGGAGCAAACAGGGCTTGCCACCCCAGTCCTCCCAGTACAGCAAACAAAGATGTGGGAAAGTGGTGGGACAGTAAACAGCACCTGTTTGCAGAAGCTCCTGGAATCCCCGCCCTCTGCCAGCAGGATTTCAGGTACTCCCCTGAGGCCAAGGCCTCCAGAGGCTCAGATCAGTTTGGCCAGCGAGGCCTGCTCACATCTGGGAACCTGTGGTCTTCAGACCGACCCACACACTAGCTGAAGACTATTTCCACAGCCCAGAGGCGTAAAGCAGCTTTCCTGAAGACACACATCTTCCGAGTGACGGAGCCTGGTTTTAAGCAGAAGCCTGACTCTTGACTGCAGATACAGCAGAGGTGAGTTGTTGGTCTCGGTCTCCTCACCCTGCTTCAGTTATCAAGTAACTAGTCACCACCTGTATGCTGCATTCTCCAGAGAAACAGAACCAAGAGGATAGATGTGGACACAAACAAGAGCTCTATTTCGGCTCTGAAGGCCATCGAGTCCCGTGACCTACTGTCTGCACGCTGGAGATCCAGGAAAGCTGGTGGGGAAATTCAGTTCAAGTCCGAAGGTCTGAGTCGGGGCTGATGGTGTAAGCCCTACTCTGAGTTTGAAAGCCCAGGAACTAGGAGTACACATTTGGCAGCAGGAAGATGACTCAGGTCAAAGCAGAGAAAGAGGGGTTCGCTCTTCCTCGCCGTTTTGTTCAACTCTAGCCCTCAGCTGATTGCAGGACACCCACGCTGGGCTGGGGGTCTTCCTCCTCGGCCTGCTGACAGTGCCGACCTCTTCCCAGGACAGCCTCACTCTGTACACACCCAGAAATGATGAGTTACTGCCATCTGGGCCTCCCTTGCCCTACCAAGTTGACACATAAAATTACCTGTGACACCACCTGAAAGCAGATTGGGTAGCTTATTGATGCCCCCCACCCCCACCCCCACGCAAATTCCAGGAGAACGGGGTATATCGTGCAGGTCATGTGGTAGGAACTCACAATGTTGAATAACAAACGCAAGCGTCTGCAATTCGGACAAAACGCTCACTTCTACCATGGCTTCATCCACCCACTCAGCAAACATGAGTCCTGGCCCACGCTGAGCCCCGGGCTGGCAGCTGGGGCGAGGAAAGTGACTGAGACGGTCACTGGATTCTGACCATGCCCATCACAGAGCAGATCTCCACGCCTAGCTGTTTTTGCATAGAAGAACTGGGGTACAGGTCAGAGTGTGGGGGTGGGAGGATTCACCAGAGACAGCAGAGACAGAGTGGGGAAGAGAACAGGCAGATCTACTGAAATAGACTGCTGAGGGGAGAAAAGAGGAGACAGGAGAGATCTGCTGCGCCATGTGGGTCACTCCCTGGCCGGGATCAAACTCAGGCCACAGGGGTGTTAGTGCTGAGACTCAACCCCTGGGCCATCAGGAAGGCCCCACCGACAGCTAGATCTTCTCAAACTCAAATGACCTCATCAGGCCCTGCCCCCTCCTCCAGCAGAGCAGTGCTGGTATATGTTTAATTGGCTCTCTGAAAAGGGTGTGTGTGTGTGTGTAAGTTCTTGATTACTAGTCAATTCGGTTAAGAAGTCACATGTATCACTGACCAGTGAGTTTTAATTCACTACACATGTCAGTATTTTTATTTCTACTGATGATGAAGACAAAGGGAGATAAAGGGACGTCAGAACCTCACTCACTCACCAATGAAGTCAGTGACTTCTTTACTGAGTTTGACTCTAGCTTTCAAATGCTGGGCACATTCAAATGCTGGAAATCTTTATTTTTGGGTGCCATTCATAAGGTCTGACTAGACATATACTACATGTTAAGCTTAATCGGCATTTTTACAACTGTTTATACACAGTTCATTTTTTATTACTTCCGTAAGTCTGGGCAACCAATTTGTAGTGTTTGCCTATTTCTGTGATAGAACTACCCCGAGGTGACTGCTGACATCACTGGACAGAGCTGGGAGGGGATGGACAGCATCCCATACCCCTTCCCCACCTAACACAGAGACGTAAGGAGTCTGAAGACCATAGATGATAGTCAAATAATTTTAGGAAGTGGTGTGCTTTGATTGGCCATTAACTTTGTTTTAATATCATTCATCTCAGCACTACTGTATAAAGTCCCATTTTAAATAATATCTATGTTCAACACTGGCTGGCACCATTCATGAAAATTTGGCAACCAATTCCCAAGAGTCTGTGCAAACCCCACAAAGAATCTGTGACACAGTCTGATGCAAAACTAGCATTGTTCTTCCTGTGCTGGGTCGCACGCCCACAAAGCATCCACTTAAAAATGCTACACATTTATTTCCGTCAGCCCTTGCTGCTGACTGCGGGAGCCAGTCTTATTTATACTGTTTCACATAGTACCCGACAGACCGTCAGGTACCAAGTTTGCAGATTATGTATCTTTCTTAGTCAACTTAGCTTAACATAGCTGTTGCAGAAAATATTTTAGGAGAGCAGAGGACTCTCAGCAGCTGTGCCCTCCTGTGCCAGCAGGCACTGGCCCGTGTGCATGTGTGTGCATGTGTGTACACACGCATGTGTGTGCCAACTCACAGAAGGCGCCAAAGTTAAATCGCTAAATGAATAATAGCGCTTTCTTGAGAGAGCCACTCTCCCATCGGAACTGAGGGAAGGCCGCCAGGCTGTAACCTTTGGTTCGTTCGTTTAGCTCCCGGTGGAGAACCAGAGTTCCATGGGAAGGGGGAGAGGGGGGTCCCCTGTTCATTTCATCTCATTCGTTTCTGCATCCCCTGCACCTAGCATCTTGCCCAACATATTGTAGGAGCTTGGTGTCGGTCTGTGTGGAATGGATGGACATAGGAAGGGTTTACTACAACCTCACACTTCTGCAGGATACATGCTGGGGGTTCAGGAGAGAGTGCTGACAAGTGGACATCACCCCCCACGAGCTCAAGGTTGGGGTGGGGTGGAGGAGCCAGAATCAAATCAGCGCAGCATAGAACAACATGCCCAGCGGTAGGTAGGTGGGGCGCCGAGGCAGGCGCGCCTCTGCAGACTCACTGCCGCAGCTTTGAGGCGAAGGATAAAAGCAAGAAGTACTTCTTGCAGGAGCCACTTTAACTAGATCCCAGAGAAAGAAATCTTTTATAGAGCTCTCAGCTTATACCCTCCGGCTCCCAGTGGGCATTTGGGCATTCGTCTGCCAGACTTTTTGACTCGAGGCCACCTTTCCAGACCAGCAGCGGACTGGCGTCTTCCGCAGGAACTGTCCATGCATGCCCGTGTGCGCATGCGTGCGTGCGCTCATCTGCGTCTGGGTTATACTCATGAATAACACCAAAGCTAGAAATCTAAGCAAATAACACAGCTTTGCAGAGAGCGGCACTCAAAGATCAGGAAGTAACAGTTGACAAGAAGAAAAAAAAAAAGACATGGCTACAGATGTAACAGTTTCAAAAGGACTGTCCCTCTCGGCTCTGACATTTG